CATTTGGAATATTGTGTTCAGATCTGGTCATCATAATTCAGAAAATATGACAAAGCTCTAGAAAGAGTGCAGAGAAGAGAAGCAAATATGATCAAGAATCTGGAGGCTTATTCCTATGAAGACCCTTTCTTCATAGATGGTGGGGAGCCACGATGTAGCCAATACTTGAAGGATTGCCACTGGGAATATAGAATCAATGTATTTCTCATAGCATCTGCAAGTAAGACAAGAAGCAATGGGTGGATGCTCATCAGAAAACAGAAAACAGATAATCAGAGTTAGAAGGGACCTTGTAAGTCATCTAGTCCAACCCCCTGCCCAAGCAAGAGACCCTACACCATTTCTGACAGATGGGAGTTCAATCTCTTCTTGAAAGTCTCAAGTGATGATGCTCCCACAACTTCCGAGGGCAAGCTCTTCCATTGGTTGATTGTTCTCATTGTCAGAAAGTTTCTCCTTATTTCCAGGTTAAATCTCTCCTTGTTCAGTTTCCATCCATTATTCCATTATTCAGTCAGAGAGAAATCCAACCTAGAAATAAGGGAATTTTCTGATACTAATAACTATTAAGCAATGGAACAGCTTGCCTCCCAGAATTATGGATGGTCCATAGCTAGAGGTTTTCAAAAAAAAAGATTGGACAACCATTTTCCCAAGATGGTACAAGGATTCTTGCTTTGGGCAGAGGGTTGGACTATGTCCCTCCAAGATCCTTTCCAACCATGCGATTCTATGATTCTACAAGTTCACAGTTATCAATATATCAGCTTTTCTAGTTTATGCTGGTTTTAGTTATGCTTCCTTTATACAAAGTATAAAGGCCTACTTTTAATTACCTTTAATGCCAAAAATGCTGAGATATTTGGCAAATTATGTCATTTGAAAATAAAATATTTACCAGATTTCTTTTATATTCTTTGCTGGATATCCTGATATATATAAATGCTGTTGCATTTTAACATTTACATATTAAAAACCCTTTTATATAGAACATTTTTAAAAATCTCTATTCAAGACTTTCCCAGTTTTGCAGATAATCACATGAAAATTAGAGGACACTAATGATTACTGATTTCTTAAATTCATAAATTAATGGTGCATTCATATTTAACAGTATATGTACATATGTGTGTGATTTTGTGTGCATGTGTGAGGTGTATATTATTAAGCTCCATTCTGTTTGTATTGGTCTCCTATATATGAGAGGAATACTGTAGTACTACATAATAATTTGATCCTATCTATTTTAGAAAGCATTTTGCAAACCAAATAATAATATTTTATATGTTTAACTGAGAAATAATCTCTTATTGGGAAAAAATCCTGTACAAATTGCTTTCATTAAAAGGCTAGAGGAGTGATTACATTCAGTAACTTTTAGGATGTGTTTCAGTGGATTTTAAGAGCATTCAATTTATACATCAGTGATTGTTGGCTCAGTTTAATTTATCCATAGCAAGCTGGACTGATTACTACTGACATAGCCATGAAACATTAATAAAGCATTGTGTTCAATGCTAACATGATTATGGCCTGACCTCAATGATGTCACAGAGGACAGAAACAGTAAGTGTTCCTGCTAACATTACCCTAATGCTGGGTTCATCAATCATAATCTACCAGTTTACAAAAAAGGGAAGAAAGCTTTTCACAGATGTGACTTCGTAGTCTTGCTGAGCTTTTTGATCCCAGAAGACTTGTGGTGGCATGAGAGTCTGAAATAAAACAGGTTCAGAAACAATCCAAGCATGTTAAATCAAAGTAAGAAACTGTAATGTAAAACACACAAAGACACAGTAAAGCCTTTAAAGCAAGCATTTGTAATTTCAAGACATGACCTGTTGTAATCCAAGACTAATTATGACAATGTTTTGATTATTTAAGGCACAGTTTGTAGTATGCTACAAATTGCAGTGCTGAATATAACAAACAGAAAATGTACTTTCAGATTCAGGAAATGCCTTCCTCTACCTAATATACAAGTTTTGTAATTTAGAAAGATAGAGTATACAGACATTTTATAAAAGTCCAAGATCACATCCATATTCAATATATTTTCTTTCTTCCAATTTGCTTCTTAAACAGTCATCTATTTATGCACATTACTCATATCTTGTCCTTCATATTTTCCATCTTTGCCTTCTATTTTATCTTTACAATGACATTTGAATGTGATATTTTGGTCATCACAGTTATTTGATTAAAGGAAGCCAAATGAGTATAGGTAATCCAATAGATTCTTTTGTTCAATAATTACTTAAATCAGGATCTCAATAATCCTAATACAGTATTTTAGCTTCTATATTTGCCCAAAGCCTTGGATGTGATTCTCAAAAGTTCCTTCAAAAGTTACTATAAAGCTGTAATCATTCACATAACAAAAATAATAAATATATTTAGAGTATTTGATTAGATTTAAATAAGAATTTCATGAATTTACTGTAATTTTAATTGAAATAAAAAATCAGGTTTAGTTTTGTCATCTGCAAAGTAGGCTAGCTTATTCTGTATCTCTAAGTTAGTATCATTTATGAACAAACTATAAAACATCAACCCCTACACTGTTGTTCTCCATATAAATTTGCCTATTGATTTTAAACTTGTGATGGCCTCTTCTTCATGCCAAAGAGATCGGTAGTAACATGTGCAGTATTTTCTGTAACAGCACCCTTTGAGAAAATGTAATTAATAACATACAGTAAAACCTTTATCTAATTAATGAATTAAGGGAGGTATTCATTATTCCTAATTGCCTATTGTACAACTGTATTACCTGCAGTAATATTATTACCACAAATTACAAATTTGGGTCATTTATGTCATTTGCATTTATAATGGAAAATCTATTACATCTGATGACTGTTACATCAAGGTCTATTAAATAAAAAAAACATTGTATATAATAATGATGTAATTCCTCACAATCTTGTTTAATGAGAGCATACGCACACATACACACACACAAATCTAGAATTGCTGCCATTCTTTATAATCCTATATTTGTTTATTCTGAAGCAAAATTTACTGGATACAGTTTGGCTAGCTTCCATTTACTAGGGCAAACAATTGTAACAATGATTTAAGAAGAAAAAATGATTGTAAGTTTTTATTTTGTTTAGCTAATTTTTTGCAGGATGTATTTTTCTTAACTCATATTTAGCGTAATGTAATTTTCAGACTAGTATGGAAGACTTCTGGCAAATAAAATCATATAGCTCTGACTTAGTCAAGGCTATATTTCTACTACTAAACTGAGCATGCATTTTTATTCTAAATAATTTCCATCTGAAACCTCTTCATGCTCATGGTCCATGTATAAAATGGTTAATGCAAGATCAAATGGTTAGTGTTAGAAATATTGAAAAAATGGCTGAGGCAGGAATAAAACATAAGACTTCAAAATCTCTATCCACCCAAGTTTCGTTTTATGAAATTCATAATAACTTGGTAATGTTTAAATTCATAAATCAGGGTTTGTTTTAAATATACATCTACACCATTCTTCAAGAGTAGAAAAATGGCATAATTTTACACACTGTAAAATTTAATCTGTAATTGGAAGAAAAGAAGAAAAATTGGAAGAAAATTTTACAGTTTGTGCTCTACAATCCAGCTAATCTGGAATAGTACTTTTTAAACTGATTGAAATCCATTGCATTACAAAGTTGATTTTAACAAATATTCTAATGAATTGGGAGTGGGAACAAAGACTTTCGCTGCATTTGAAGAATTACATAGCCATTAAAAAGCCCTAAAGCTCGTTAGTATTCTTAATTTTATAACTTGCCTTTATTTTAATTTGAAAATATGGTAGACAGGGATAGGAATATATTTTTTTAACAAGGTAGATAAATGTGACAGAAGGGAATTTAGTAAGAGACTAAAGATAAGATGGGATTGGATGGGATGGGATGGGATAAGATAAGATAAGATAAGATTTATTGTCACATTTTGCTGGGAACACAGCAGGACAAATTAAATGATGCCTGCTCTCAAAAGTGGAATAATATTATTATTATATATATACACACATATACACATACACATTTCTTCATTTTGAAAGAAAAATTAAATTTTTCTCGTATGTGAGGAAAGATACTTGACGTGATTATTGGTGGTCTAATATAATACAATATAAGCCTAAATACAGCTATGTGTTTGCTTTTGCTATTACTATTGCTATTATCATCCTTGTGAAAAAGATCTTGAGATAGGAAGTGTAAACTTAATATGAATCAACAGAGTGATAAAAGCAACTGTAATTTTATTTCATATTCATTTATTTATTTAGCCTGCATCAATCCAAGCGTAATGTCCAACCCAAAAGAAATAATAGTTCCAGTTTATTTTGGCTTGGTCAGATCCCACTCAACTAGTATCTAAATCTTGATGTAACTTTGAAGGTTTCAGAGACAATGAAACAGCTTCCAAGAATGTACCAAGGATCATCAGATAACAAAACCTCTAAAAATAGCTGGAAAGACTAGAGCATGTTTAACCTTGAGATGAAAAAACTAAAAGGAAATATGATAGTGTTCTTGAAATACCTAAAAGGAAGTTATACCTTTTGTCATTCCAAAGTTCAGGAGACATTAGAAAGAATCTGAAAAGCATATTTTAATTTTTACAGTTGAACCAATAATATGTGGAAATGGCGGGGTCCCCTTAACTGGTTCTTTTAAAGTTGAGTCTCAATTGGTTCAATCAAAGATGCTTTGATTTGGATGATTGCGCTAGACTCTATAACATAAAATAAATATTTTTAGTACTTCTATTGAGGTTTCTCAACAAGCTCTCAATAGGGCAAAAAGCATAGATGAAGAACTGAATGCCAATAAAAGCTCACCAAAACATGTATTTACAAAGTTCATAGCAAGCATATTAAGAATTTTAAAGGAAATTCTGAGAAGAACATCTTATGCAACTGGTTTTGGAAAAAAGAAAATGATATCTATATAAGAAACATTTTTTTTCCTTTTTCATCTCGATTTCATTTCTAGGCTCTGGAAAGTGAATTTGTATCTTGTCAGCTTCACCAGTGGATTGATCTCATATTTGGCTATAAGCAACGAGGGCCAGAAGCAGTGCGGGCACTTAATGTTTTCCATTACTTGACATATGAAGGTTCCATAAACCTTGACAGTATCACTGATCCTGTTCTCAGAGAAGTAAGTACCTCTGGCTCACACTTTTCCCTTCAATTATGATAAATGTATCTTAAAATTATTAATTACTTCTTTTCATTTTTTTAAAAATGGATTATTTTGTTTTATTTTGTAATCTCATAATATAGTCCATAATTTACAACAGTTCCTTTAGTGACCAATTGAAGTTATGAGGACTCTGAAAAAAGTGACATGACCATTTTTCACATTTAGAACTATTGCAGCACAGTCATGTGATCAAAATTCAGCACTTGGCAACTGATTCATATTTATGATGGTTACAGTGTCCCAGGATCATGTGATCACCTTTTGCAACCTTCTGACAAGCAAAGTCAATTGAAAAACAGAAATTCACTTAAACATGTTACTAACTTAACAATTGCAGTGATTCACTTAACCACTGTGGCAAGAAAGGTAATAAAATGGGGGAAAAACTCACTTAACAAATGCCTCACTTAGCAATAAAAATTTGGGGCTCAATTGTGATCGTAAGTCAAGAGCTACTGTACCTCAGAACAAAAATGTGTCTATAACTGCACTTGATCAAGCTTATTTGTTGTATCAAAAATTCTCATCTGTATCTTGAATAATTGATTCAAGGCAGTGAAAGATGGAAATCTGGTCTAAAAAATTATTTCTGTTTTGAGGTAATATGAAACAACATATATGTTATTCAAATGTAGATTAGATGTAGGAGAATTTCACTGACATTACAAATATTCCTTTGGATTTTCTACAGTTATATTGATTTAATCAACAAGTGAAGTTAAAATGGGTTGCCTGTTTTTTCTAACAGGTTATATTTAGTAAATTACTAACTAGAAGAGTTGGACATTTTGAAATTCATATATATGTACATTTATTATACATACTATGTTGGATTTTATCTGTTTATTTATTAATAAATACACAGAGAATAAAATAAACTGTGAATAAGAATGCAGATTTCTTTTAACATGTGTATAGTATTTTATAGTACTTTTGTAAAAAAAATGGTTTCTGCAAAATGTCCTTTCATGTATTGGCTCCTAGCTTCTCAATTCATTTTAGAAGAATTATTATTAGATTAATGTGGAAATATAAAACATTCTATAAAAAGATCAGCTTTAGTTGAAAAGTGTGAAGATGCAACAGCTGCAAGATGAGTGGTGTTGTATTGAGGCTGCATACATAAGCTTCCATGCCCTATGATATCTGCCATCTGTTATTATGCAAAACAAGCAATAATTTATACAAAGGCAATAGAATACTTGTGGCTTTCCCCCCCTGAAAACCAAGAATCTGGAAATTTACAGTTACTGTAATTACTTAATTATCTCACAAACTAACTACTACATTATATTTCTATAACATTTCTACAGTTTAGGCTATGTTGTACATTATGAGATATTAAAACCCTATATCATGGTAATTAAAGGCCTGCATGGATTGTATCTAATTTCATATAGTCATTGAGAAAGTTGAAATATTTTTTATCTTGCATTTTAATATTGGAAAGATAGGATATAAATTTAACAAATAAATACTTTAAATGATCTGGATCTAAATTTAATTCATCATCCAAACAGAGTTATTCAATTTTTTTTACTACCGGTTCTGTGGGCATGGCTTGGTGGGCATGGCAGGGGAAGGATACTGTAAAATCTCCAGTCAAAGGTGGTATTTGCTGGTTTTCTGAACTACTCAAAATTTCCGCTACCGATTCTCCAGAACTGGTCAGAACCTGTTGAATACCACCTCTGAAACAGACTCAATGAAACCATTTCAGAAAGTTTAATAAATTAACAATGAACATATCAAGAGAGAAACTTCTCGAAAAGAATTTTTGAAGAGAAGGATTAGGGTAGCATTTCTCCATTTCCAATTATCCTCCCTGAAGTAGTTATATTTTTAGGATTTCTATTTTTTTGCATGTGTTTATATGTTATTCTTTGGCTTCCTTCTAATACAGGTAATCCTAAACTTAACTATTCATTTAGTGACCATTTGAAGTTACAACAGCACTAAAAAAATGTGATTTACAGGAGGTCCCCCTTACAACCAATGTATAATCCCCACAGTCATGTGATCAAAATTAGAGCATTTCAAACTGGCATTTATTTATGATGGTTGCAGCATCCCGAAATAATGTGATCAACATTTGCAACCTTCCCTGCCAGCTTCTGAGTCAATGGGGAAGCTGAGTTTGCTTAAGGACCATATGGTTCAATTAATAACTGCAGTGGTTCACTTAACAACAAAAGGTTCTATAAATGAGTACAACTCATTTTAGAACCATCTAGCTTAGTAACAGAAATTTTAGTCCCAATTCTGGTTGTAAGGTGAGGATTATCTATAATCAGGCTTGTACTGTAGCTGTAGACTAAATATAGAATAATATATTCCTTCCTTCCTACATTCAGATATTTAAGAACATTTAAAAAAATGTTTTTGTCATTTAGAAGAATAGGAAAAAATGTTAGCATATTTGCGGACTACCTATTTGATTAATCGTATATAGAATACCTTTATTTCTTCCTTGGATTCTCATATATTTCAAATCCTTATATAAGAACTCCTGATCAAGTCAGCCTGATATTCTCCAGGTATATTGGAAAACACAGCTTCAAAATTCCTAGATTGTAGGATCCTTGGCTAGAAATTCTTGGAGTTTTAATCCCAGTATATTTGTAAGGTGACCAATTGGATAATGTTGGAGTAGCTTCCTATGAATGATGCTAAGTTATTGTACCTATAAGATGTTGTATAGACATTTTTCAAATTAATGTAATGCTTCCAGTCACTTCCATAATTTTATTTTTTTCACTTATTAGAAGATTTTTATGTTATTAGGTTGAGATATGTTTAATCTGAAATGTTCTGAAAAACAAGCCTAACAGAGAATACATGTACCAATACATGTACTGACAGCAAACATGTACCAAGTTATGTTCTTCTTATTTTTTTTTATAAACTATTAATAGATTTGGTTAACTGTAAGAGTGACTTACTGTATAATGAGATTAGAGGCAGGGTAAAAGAAATCTTCCTTTGGAAGAGGAGTCATATTTCATCCCCCCCCCACACACACACTTTCATAAAAGGCTAGTTTAATACTTAAGGGTTTTTTCATTAGAAGTATTGTATTCCAAAGCAGACCAAGAGCAAGCCAAACTACTTTTCTTCAATTATTGTATCTACGTCCAAATATTATTTATAGTCTAATGAAATGTTGCTTTGTTGGGAGAGGAACTATTAGAGATACATACAAATTGGAAACTTAGCAAACTCTAGTTTCATCAGATAACATTTACAGGAATGCTGATGTAATGCTAGTTTCCCTTTTTTCAAAACCAAGAAATTTAGTAAAGTGAAAGATAAAATGTAATAAACAGCTCAAGGATATTGGTTTATTTTTTTTCCTTGACAGGTGAAATCATAGTTACAGCACTAACCACAGCAATTATTGCATTAAAATGTCACTAAATTAGAGGTCAGAATAAGAGATAATTTTCTTCCATATGTCAGATTAAAAAAAGTTGACATTCTTTGACAGCACAGGATCTCTAGCTGAGAAAATTATGACAGCTTAACCCATCTTGCACTTGTATAACAGTAATTGATAATGAACTTTTCCATGACAGCCCTCTCCTGTGGAGAAACATGACAAAACATCTCTGCTACAAAGTCTGTATCCCTGTTTAATATGTAAACAGCAGTTGCATTGGACACTGGATGTTGTTGGAATTGTCTTTACTATTGGTGTACGTTATAAATCCAACCAATGTTTTTAACCTTTTTAGCTATCATCAGAATACTGGTTATAAGAATGTTAATTTATAGAATTAGAGGACACATTTGATTACAATGTAGTATTTCAAAGTTTTTGTATACAATTTCTTGATTATTTTGTTTTATTTTAGGCACATTGTCATTTGTATAATGAAATATCCTTTGTAGTACTCTCATTACCACTCATGAGCTGTGTGAAAGTTTCCATTTAGAAATGGGGCAACATCTCTATGAAGTCCTTCATGTTCTTTAAGCTTGATCACTTGCTTGTAGATATTTGATTACCCAACTAGATAATATCATCAGTGCTAATGAGTGTGGGGTTTGCTCCCTGTTTTTTTACAGTAGCTTGCCCTGCCAGTGTTGTTGGGGCTGTAGTTCTCTCCTTCCTTCCTTCCTTCCTTCCTTCCTTCCTTCCTTCCTTCCTTCCTTCCTTCCTCCCTCCCTCCCTCCCTCCCTCCCTCCCTCCTTTCTTTCTTTCTTTCTTTCTTTCTTTCTTTCTTTCTTTCTTTCTTTCTTTCTTTCTTTCTTTCAGTATTGTTTTTTGTTTGATCATTTGTCTATTGTTAGTCACTGCTTACTGGGGTATTTTATGCTGGAAGGAATGTGTTCTGGTCTTGTTTTCTTCTTTGCTTTTTGTCTCTTTTGAGTAAGGTGTAAATATGGTTTATTTCTATGTATCTGTTCAATGGCTGATTTGTTTGAATGGCAAGCTTCGAGAAATTTTTTTAAAATTTTAGGATTTATCTTGGTCTTGGATACTCAGTTTTTCAGATGAACTTGTGGCTGAGTATAAAACCTCATGTTGTAATATTAAGGAATTTACATCATGTCTACTACTTGCTAGTTGGTGTTCATGCATACGCTCTGCTGGTCTTTGGCATATCTATTCTAAATATTGGCCGTTACAATCCATTGTATGTAACAATTAACTCTTATCTTTTTCTTCTTGGGCTACTGTCTTTTGGTTCACTTAAGAAGTTTTGGAGGGCTTTAGTTTAGTTGGGTGCTACAGTGATGCCACATGTTATAATAGTTTGTTGTTTGTTTCCGAGGTGTTTTTTATATATGAACATATTATTCTTTTCAATACCTGCTGTTAACTATAATGTAGTGGCTTCAGTAATCAGATACTTTTTGATAAAATGGTTTGGGTATCCATTTGCTGAAAGATGTTGTATAGAACAGCCTGCTTCCTTTTTTTCCCTGATGTTCCAGGTTGCTGCATGTTT